TTACTTGATTGGCAGGGATGGAGGAGAATGTACCTGGGGCTCCCGTCACCTGCCAGCAGCAGCCAGGCTGCAGAGTCCCTCCTGGGAAGCATGGCATGCCATGCCCGCTCAACTTCCTGCATGGGGAGGGCAGGCAGCTCACAGGATCACACACAGAGAACGAGAGAGAGAGAGAGAGAGAGCGAGCGAGAGCATTTCCATCTGCTAGTTCACTCCCCAAATGCTTACAATGGCTGGTGACTTATGAAAGGAACCAGGAACTCAATCCACATCTCCCGTGTGGGAAGCAGGAACCCAATTACTTGAGCTACTACTGCTGTTTCCCGGGGTCTGCATTGGCTGGAAGCTGGAGCTGGAGTCATAGTCAGAACCCAGGTATTACTTATGGGACTCAGGTAGGTATCCTGACCGGTGGCTTAACTGCTAAGCCAAAGCAATATAAATCACCTTTGCCTGTGTATATTCCTATGTCTCCCTTAAAATAAAGCAAAAAGGAATTAGTCATATATTAGAGATTGCCAATATTGTTTTGTACAGGGATATTGTTGGTTCTAATGGATTATGTTACTTAGAAATATGCTAAGAGGATTCACTACCTTGAAACAAACAAATGGCAGATGTATAAAATACTGTGCTTGGGGTAATTTATTTTCTCTGGCTATGTTAACTCTAGAGCAATTAGCTAGATTATTTCCCTAACGTGAACAATGACTATATTCATATGAAAACAATTAATTGAGCAATTGTTCTAGGATGAGGGTTTACTCTCATTTTTGCTTTTCCCCTCTCCTCATGTCACCTCCCTTTCCACACATGCCTGGCTCTCTCTGTGAGAGCAATTTCAGCAGCATAATGTCTATGCGAAGATGGTAAGCTTTCAAAAATCATAGCAAGGAGCTACGGCTGCACATTGATTCTCAGCAGATCTCCGCGTATCTTCGGGTTTTTATGCTGTGCTTACTTTACAATCACTGAGTTTCATGTTTGAACGTCTCCATTATTTTGGTGGGCATATTAGAGCTGATTGTTTCTCTCAGCAGCCTTCAACCGCCCCCTGCGAGACCTCCACCGTTTACCTTATCATAATATTGGAAAGCAATTTCTCTTGACTGCTGTGAACCAACGCCAGAAATCCAAAATGCTGCCACAGTCATTAAGTGATTTCCAATTAGTTAATTGGTTTCACAGGCTGCTTCTTTCTAAACTGCACCTTAAATGAAAAGCAGAACCATCCATTTTTGAGAAGGAAAAAAAATCCTCAGGCCCTTGGGGTTTTAAAATCCTAATGCATAGTACACTTTGGAAGAAAACTTCACTAAAAACACCAGTGCTAGAGAACAGAAAACGTGATCATTATCGCTGCAGAACCAGAATGGAGCCTGTCTTCTGGCTTTCCCAGATTGTATGGGCTTCAGTTTGCCCACTGTAAGATAGGCAGATCACCACAGAAAGTCACGGAACACTGATTCTCTTCTAGGGAAGCTTCTGGGCCTCTGGGTGGGTGCTGCAGGACCATTCGTGCTGGGCTGCTGTGGGCTGCAGTCTTAAACCTTGCTGAGTCTAGGGACTGGTTCTTCAAGAAGCTGTGGTTTGGAAAGGACATGGGCCGTGATTGTGCATAGAATGGGATGGGGAAGGCATTGAGAGGTTGATCTGGTCAGCATACCTGTTCCATAAAGATGAATCTTCAGGAATATCTGGTTTCCCCAAGGGTGACATTTACCCACCAGGGTAAAGGGAACAGACTAAATACCCAAGGGTGGGGAGGTAAATAATACATTTACCCATACATCAGTCTTCTATTTTTCCTGATAGTGGGAAAAAGCTTACCTTTAACAGTTAGATGCATATGAAAATAAATGAAAATTTTGCTTTCTGTTAGACAAAAATGCTGTCAATCAAATCAGAAGCATCAGAGTGTGGTGGTTGAATGCAGAGGCTCTGGACATCCTGATAGCCACTTTCCAGCAATGTGACTTTGGGCAAGTTAATCGGCCTCCCTGTGCTTCTGTGTCCTGGGAAACTGGAGAATAATCTCACCCTTCCAGGGTAAATGGGTGGCTAAAATATATACATCCTTTAGAAACATTACTGACACATGGTCTGCTAAATAAAATTAATTTTATAATATGCCGCGTTTTGTAAGATTCACCTTCTGATGTCTCTTTTGGAACAAAGCTCTCATCCTAGGGTCAGTTACCTCTGAGAACCAATACTTGAACAGGGCAATGAGGAGACGGGGCTGTCCCAGCCTGCTGAGCAGTTCATTGGTTAGCCAGCTGTGCTCCCTGCCATCAGCTCTTTAAAATAATTTCTTTCCCCAACCTCACCTAGTGCTTGGTCTTTTTGTCAAGAGCAATGTTTATGTATAGAGGTGGGTTGGGGCCAGTGCTGTGGTGCAGTGGGTTAACGTCCTAGCCTGAAGCGCCGGCATCCCATGTGGGCGCCGGTTCGAGACCTGGCTGCTCTTCTTCCGATCCAGCTCTCTGCTGTGGCCTGGGAAAGCAGTAGAAGATGGTCCAAGTCTTTGGGCCCTGCACCCACATGGGAGACCCGGAAGAGGCTCCTGGCTCCTGGCTTCAGATTGGCGCAGCTCCAGTCATTGCGGCCAGTTGGGGAGTGAACCAGCAGATGGAAGACCTCTCTCTCTCTCTCTCTCTCTCTCTCTCTCTCTCTGCCTCTCCTCTCTCTGTGTAACTGACTTTCAAATAAATAAACAAATCTTTTTTTTTTTTTTAAAAGAAGTAGATTAAATTGGAAGGGGTTGGTTGCAGAGGTAGTGATTGGAATACTGGGTCAGAAAGAGGCAAAGAACTTCAGTGTGTATGTGTATATGAGAGAAAGAGAGAGAGAGAGAGAGAGAGAGAGAGAGAGATAAAGGATGAGACTAACAGAGAGAGATACAGAGAGAACAGCCATGTAGCAAATATTTTTATTTTTTAAGGATTTTATTTATTTTAGAGTTAGAGTTATTGACAGAGGGAGAGACAGAGAGAAAGGTCTTCCATCTGCTGGTTCACTCCCTAAATGGCTGTAATGGCAGGAGCTGGGCCAATCTGAAGCCAAGAGCCAGGAGCTTCTTTTGAGTTTCCTTGCAGGTACAAGTGCCCAAGCACTTGGGCCATCTTCTACTGCTTTCCCAGGCCACAGCAGAGAGCTGGATCAGAAGAGCAGCTGGGACATGAACCAGTGCCCATATGGAATGCCAGCGCTGCAGGTGGAGGCTTAGCCTACTACACCACAGCGCTGGCCCCGTGTAGCAAATCTTCAATCTGAGTGGGAGAACACGTATGAGAAAGCCAGCAGAGCGGTGAGAGGGAAATTGCAACCCAGAGTGGGATGAGGCAGGAGAAGGGAACAGAGGACAGAAAACCCCAACTCTGGCTCTGGTGCTCTCCTGTGTGCTTTAGAAGCAGTTGGTTCATCATTTCAGCAGCCCGGAGTCCTTTTGTAATGACTTTATGGATTAAAATTTAAAGCCAAATTAGATGTTTATGAAACAGAGCCCATACTGAATTGATAACAAGCTGTCAGGGTTGGCCTCACAGTGCTGCATGGCTGGAGCGCTGTGTCTCCCGGAGTGGTCCTGGTGCCATCCATAGAGGTGACACTTCAGCCACTCTTTCTCCTGGGTTATTCTTCTGAGGACAGCATTTGTGGAGGGAATGGGGGGGCATGAATAGTGCTTTTCTTTATAAATGTTATATGAGTACATGTTGGCTGATCTTCATAGAAACTGTGTTAGAAATGTGTTTGCTTTCTTTGTGTGTGCTTTTGAAAACCTTATTTTTAGGGTTCCTTATGTAAGCACTTCCATTCCAGAGAAAAACCACAGTTTGAGAAGTCCTAAGTCTGACATCTCATAATTAGAGATGATTTTTGGTGTTGTGTGCTTTGAAAGTGAAATGTTTTCAGGGAAGATGAGTTCCCCTGCCCCCTTGCACAGCAACTCCCTTGCTCACCACCTCATTATTTCAGAGAGGGAGAGTGTTTTCTTCCAGTTTTATAGAATAGAATGCTGTGTTTTCTGCTCATATATATACTTCTTAGAACAGAAACTGCTCTTTCAAGTTGTTAATCACTTTAGAGGAAGGAAGACATCAAAGGGAACCCTGCTTGGCCCTTTCTGAAGAGAGCAATACATTTTTCCTGTAATGAAGTCTATTGATAGATTTATTTCTGTGGTCCATGAAGATAATTAGGACTCAATAAATATTAAGTCAATCAGCCAAATACCCTCTCCCTGCCCTACAGGAACTTATGATCTATGGAATCAAGGGAAATAATAGGCGCCTTTATCTTTGTCATATTCTTTTGCCCTCTACACATGGGAAGCAAAGAGCTCAGGAATTCCTGTCCAGGGATCCTGAAGAGGCTTGGCCTGTTATGCACTTCAGTTCATTTACAAGGCAATAACAAGAATCCTTGGGGTTATTACCTGAGCATAATAGCACTTGTGAAATGGCTCCTTGTGAAAAGAGTGAATTCCTAAAAATAACTGAAAACTGTGGCTGGTGGTGACTTCTGCATGTCTCCTAGGATAAGGAGAGGGACGCAAGTACACGGGGATGAGACTTTGCCATCTGTTAATCACAGGGCTTGAAACCACAATTCAATTACATGGGATTCCAGGCTAATATTCCCTTTGTTGGGTGGCTTTTCCATTTCAGAAGGCAGCAGGATCCCGCCGTACAGTCGATGCATGTCTAAAAGCCCGAGTAAGTGGTGTGGTGCACATGGAATATTTTAGTCTCTGGATATTATTTATGTTGAGACAGGAGGAGTCTTGGGGGACTGGGGATGCATTAAATCCCGCACACTTAACTGATGAGCTTTTCCTTCTGAGAGGCTGCGTGTTACTGTCTGGGCTCCAGTGGCCCTGGATGAGCTCTCGGCTTCTTCCTGCCCCGCAGTAACCTGCTCTCCCTGCTTGGGATGCATTAGAAATAAACAAAATGCACTTGTATGAATCAATATTTAGCATTAAGCAGCTCCTGGGCTTAATGTCAGGGTCTCTGAGAGGAGAGGTTATCCTCTGGTTGCACTGGGGTTTGGGTGACAGGAAATTTAAGACTAAATGGGCTACATGTTTAATGCTTGGATGCATTTAGTCCTATGACTTTTACTTGGCTCTCAAGTCTTTACGAAGCTCCCTTGTCAACAGGAGGGAGGCTGATGTCCCCGGATAATGCCTCTCCTTTCTCCCTGCTTGGCCTCTCCTGACTTTTCCCTTCTATTTAGAATGCCCTTCCTTCTACCTGTAGAGGCCTAAACTCAACTTGCATTCTGCAGGAGCCAGTTACCATGCCACCTTGATCTTCCTTGACACCTTCTTTCGCTAATCTTGCATCCTCTTCAAAAGCAAACAAAACAAAACAAAACAAAAAAGTACCTGGAAAGCATCATAGTGTCATGGAAAAATGTTGGAAAAATGGATGAAATAGGTCTGAGTTTATATTCTTGGACTTACAGTTACTAGGTGTGTTTGCCTCTAAGACTGCCTGTTCACAGTTTGCCTTGTTTTTCCTCACTGTAAACAGGGATGATATCAATAGGGTTTTTAGAATAATCAGATGATGTTGCCAAGTACAGGGCCTGGCAGAGACTATTCGATAGATGTGAGTTCATTCATCCTTGCTAGTTCATTCTGCTGACTGTGATTATTAACCTTTGGGGACCACGGGTCTGTTTGAGAATCTGATGGAAACTATGGTTTCTGCTCCCAGAGGAAAAAAAAATACTTGTAAATGTTTGCGTCCCCTTTCAGGAACTCCAACGATCCCTATAGCCAAAACAAAACCCACTCAGAGTGTTTGCATCTCTAGGTTAGCCACCCTCCCCACAACAGCCAATTTGTGCAAAGCACCTGAAAAGGGGCCTGCCGCTTAAGACTGAACAAATACTAGTTAATCTGCTGGTTTCCTAAATTGCAATCAAAACATTCTTTATGCCCTGAGGAAATCTAGCTGCAATTCCCCCTTGTATTTAGTTTTGAGAAGCTGTCATGTACAAGTGACAGAAATACCTCTGAGCAGAGAGTCTGGTTCTTGACTGACATGTCTTCCAGCTGGCCTGCCATACCTTGTTTGAACACATTTGGCCTTTTAAAAAAATCTTCTCTTTCTTGTCGGACTCTACCCTGTAGTCCTGTGTGCTGCTCCCCAGCCAGGCGACATGTTCTGCTGACATCTCTGTCTTTGCTCCCTGTAAGGAATTTATAGCAATTATCCTTTGGTTGGTCCCCGTGTCTATATTTTGGCAGGCCGCCCTGCCTTCCATGTGGTAGCTGCTTTGCAGGCAATGCAGCTGGAGTCTGCCAAAACCTCATGCCACCCCTTGTCAGATGCTCTCTGGGTGCAAGGGTTCCCACTCTTACCCCTCCCCTTGTCATACCCACCCTTAGGCAGGGGAGTGCATAGTTCCCTTTGCATTATGAGTAAAACAACAAGGACGTGCAAGGATGGCGGTGATCCAGTTCATCTGAACAATGTTAGCAGTGAATCTGGATAACTCAGGCTCCTTGGAATGATTTTTGTGGCCTGCACTACCTGGATTGGTTTGTTTGGCTGTGTACAGCAAGTAAATGAACTGGATAATCGCCATGTTTCTATTCTACTCCATGCTGTGTTGCCTGTATCTCTGGAAACAAAAGTTTTCTCCAAGTCAAAGTCACTTCTCAAGAACAATTATGCCCCCTGGGGGCGAATGTCTTTGTCAATGTAACGCCAAGGTATGACTACAAAAATTGGCTGCAAGAGCACCTTTTCTCCATTTGACTTTCCTTAAATATGTTCACCGAAGACCAATGGGGACAACACAAACCTCTGGAAACAAAGGAGCAGAAAGCAACCCCAAATTGCTCCCCGACAACCACTCTCATTGATGTGGCCTATTCCAACTGTCTGGTTCAGGCTTTATTTAGCTATTCTATGGTGGTATTTTAAACGTCTGCATCAGTGAGCCCAAGAATGCCCTTGAGGACTGCTTCTCAAACTGGGATGTGTGGTCACATGGACTAGAGATATCGCTAAGATGCAGATTCTGATTCAGTGGGGTTGGGTGACATGTTGGCTGGTTCCTTCCCTAAATGCCTGCAAGTGCCAGGGCTGGGCCAGGCTGAAGCCAGGAGCCAGGAATTCCATCCAGGTCTCCCACAGGAATGGCAGGAAGCCAAGTACTTGAGCCATCATCTGCTGCCTCCTAGTGCATTAGCAGAAAGCTGGATGACAAGTGGATCCCAGGCACCCTGCTGCAGGCATCCCAAGTGGTGTTTTGACCCTCTGTACAACAGCATCCTCTCCAGATTCTGCATTTCTAACAATCTCTGGTGATACCATCATTTCTGGTTCATGGGCAAATCCCAGAGAAGTGAGATTGTAGCCATCTGTAAGATAACTGTACACAAAGATCAAACCAATTACAACACATGACCTCCCTCAGGCCCTCTACTTGGCCTGCTGTTTGTCATAACCCAACTTTATTTTCCTGCAGTAAATGTGAATGACAAGGTTCTGGTCTTGAGAGAAAAGCAAATAAATTTTAATGAAATCAAAACAGAATCCACCTAAATGCAAGATGTTGCCCACAAAGAAACCTCCTTTCCTGTAAGTCCTCGTTGGCTTCTCACTAGCTATTTAAAGTTCCAAGTAGAAAATTGTTCATCACTCAGAATTTAGAACAGCCTGGAAAAGTGCAAGGAATGTAAATTTTCTGAGTCTTAAGTACTGGGGGCAGCAAAGAGCAAATTTTTGGAGCTTGAATTCAAGATAAAAAAAATCTCTAATCACATCCATTCGTTCTTTTTTCTCATCCTATGAAATGTCATTGTTTGTTTTGTCTCTTAGAAATCACCTGAACTCTTTTCTGGAATGAATTGGGTGTATATTGGCAAATTATAAGTACATAAACATTCATTCTTCAACACTGAGTGCCAATGATGTATAAAAATTGTGGTACCCACTTCACTTCTAAGTTAATAATGCAAACCATTAACCACTGTGGGTTTCCATCTTCACATCTGAATAATGAAGGGCTGAACTGGATGACCCTGAGTGCCCTGATATTGTGTCGTTCTCAGAACTGGGAGAAGCTGGGGGCAATAAACACTCTGCCTGCATGTGGCTTTTTTCTGCCCAACACAAAGCCTTCTCTTTGCTCTTTCTCTTTCGGGGTGAAGCAGAGAAGGCGCACATCTTTTTCTGTGTGTTTTGTGGTCAGAGGGAGATAAGCGAGGAGAAGACCATGTTCCTGTAGAAACTTTGCTCTTTTTTTTTAGTGGAAACATAGTGCTAATAAAGAAAATACTCCATAGAATTCCTACATGTAATAGCAGGAAATGCAAGAAGGGCTAAAGCCTGCCTGCAGGCCTTCCCTTTGACCCTGGAGTGGGTCCAGAGATACCCTGGGTCTCTGGAAGATAGGAGGCGAACCATGGTCCTACAGTCAGCTCTGTAAAGTCCTAATTCCAACTCACTCCTCATTGATTCTGTGTAAATAGTGCTGAGGGTAGGAATCTAAGGTAGGAAGCAAATAAGTAGGGTTTGTAAATCTGAGTAAGCCTAGAGACATGGGAAATGAGGAGTAAAGGAGCAGTAGGAGAAAAGGGGTAGGCAGGGAGGGAGGGTGGGAGGGAGGGAGAGAGAGAGAGAGAGAGAGAGTGAGTAGATGGGGGAAACACAACTAGTCTTTGCTCCCTAGGTCTGGTGGGCAGGAAATGAAGCAGAGCCGCTGAGAGGCTGTGATGGATGGTGCAGGGAGGCCTCTCCCGTCTAGTACCGCATCCGTTCACGTTGGGTTGGCTTTGGAAGTCCCGGTCTGCAAACCACAGGGGCTGGGCTGAGACTGTAAATCAAATAGTTGGGTCTTCACTGCTTTTTGCGTCTGTGAAATGCTTAAGCACCGAGTGAAAAGAGGAATCCTAGTTTTTACTTAGGTCAGCAGAGGAAAAGCCCTGCTATGGCCTTCAGGCAACTGGTTTGTTGTGTCTCCTGTGCGTGTGTTTCTCCCCACCACCCCTTTACTTACAGGAGGACTGGAAGTGAAGTGCTCCTTTCCTGCCGTCTAGTTGGGTTGCTTCTGTAGCAAGAACAGTTAGTGTCATTAATTTCCCTTGTTCTGTGTGGGCTGTGGAACATGAAACTGACTTGATTGATGGCATCGCGACTTCAGAGTGGGAGCCTTTGGTGGCAGGTGGGTGAGTGGGTTGGTGACAGACTTCAGAGAGTTAATGCATTTGTGTTGCTATCAGCTGCACCACCCTTTGGTAGACAGATGGCATTTGGATCAGCAGGAGGGTGAGGGGTTGAAGAAAAAAGTCAAGATAGAGGGAGACAGGGAACAACTAAAGGGAGAAAGTGACTCAGCCCCAGCTACACCATGGCTGTGCCTGGGGGATGGCTCTAGGTGCCCACTTTAAAGTGAAATGTAGGTAGAATGGTGCATTTGTGGAGGATGGAGCAGATGGAAGGAGACTGGAAATCATGCCATGCGGGGAAAGGGTCAGAGACCAAGCCTACTTACAGACAACAGAGGAATTTCTCCTTTCATGTCTTTACTTCCTGACAGGCTGACGTAGGGAAGGATCTAGAATTATTCTGGTGGCTTCCAGGAAAGACTTGGAGCCTCTTTTGGCTCTACTTGAGAGTGAATGGCTTAAACAGAACAGGCCGCTTCCTGTTGTGAAAGGTAATTTCTCTTCATGCCGTGGTTCCAGCCAGTGCTTTAAGGGAGATGCTTCGACTGGGCTGTGTTTGGCCTGGAAGAGCACCAGAGGCCCCGAGAAGGCTGTCAGACAGATTTCACAACATCCTGCACATGTCCTCCCTATCTCTGACATGGACACTTTCTGGCCATACTGAAACTAGATATCCTATCTTGGACAGAATCTAGTTTCCTGTGGAATCGGAGTTTTAATAGAATTGGCTTTTTTTTAACTTGCTAAGAAATAGGAGGATTAAAAATCCTAGTTTCTGTGTTGTGGTATAGAAGAAAGAACAAAGAAATAAGAATCTAGAGTACAATTCTACCCCAAAGACTTATTTGCTGTGTGATTTTGGACAAAGCACTGTTTTTTTAATGAATAAAATAGGGCTAGTGATATTATATTTGCAGAATTGTTAGAAGCATTAAATGAGATGCTACATGTATTGCGCCCAGAACAAACAATGGCGCACAGTAGTCATTTGATAAGTGACACAGTAGTCATTCCAGAAATTCAATTACCTTTAGTCTCCAGACAATTAAAAATAATACAGACAGATCATGAAGCAACCGAGGGGTAACACTGACTTATAAGCATAGATGCCTTCTGTATTAGTTTCTCAAGGCTGTTAACAAATGGCTACAGACTTGGTGACTTACAGCAACAGACATGTATTATGTCCCCCACAGTTCTGGGGGACAGAAGTCTGAAGCCAAAGTGTCAGTGGAACTGCACTGTCCCCTAAAGATCTAGGAGAGAATCTCTCCTTACTTCTTCCAGCTCCCGGTGACTCCAGGCATGCCTTGGCTGTGGCTGTGTAACTCCTGTCTCTGCTTCTATCTTCATATGGCCTTCTCCATGGTGTCTGTGTCTTTTCCTCTCTGTCTCTTATAAGGATACTAGGTTTAGGGCCTACCTGGCTGATCAGGATTATCTCATCTCCAGATTTTGAATTCCATCAGCAAAGACCCTTATTCTAATAAGATCACATTCACAAGTACACTGGATTAGGATTTGGCCGCTTTTTTTTTTTTTTGGATTACCCTTCAACCCATTGTAATGTCTGTGAAGGGAACCTAGTGACACAAACTCTTATCCTGGACATGCCTTCCTAAAGCCTTTTATTGTGTATATGGACTTGCCACAGACTCCTTAGTCTGTCTGAGGGTGGGATGGTAAAACAGAAAGGACGGTAGTTAGGGTGGAACAAGATAGAAGCCATTGACCTATTCTTGGTAAGATTTCCCCCATATATTGTCTTTGTGCTTATCTTTGTCTCTTGGTTGAGTGTCCGGTTGCCTTCTCTGTATTTTCTCTCACCTATCCATTTAGGTTGGGTTAGACTTAAAAGATGTCTGGTGGTAGACTTGGATGAGAAAGAGGGTGAGGGTGGAATGGTGGTGTGGTTCTGCTCCACATATTTAGCTACTTGTTCACTTGGATCAAAGCTGGAAATAATAATCTTCTAAATGATGGGTATGATTCCCAGTTGTCCATCTCAAAATGCTACTTTGTGCATGCTGACCCTGGTTTCCCACAGGGACAGAATACAATATACTTTTGAGCTCAGCTGTAAATATAGCTGGAGGTCCCACTTGGAGTCCAAGCTGTGTCCATCACTGAGTTTCACATAAGTTTGGGTAAGAATACCAAATTGGAATGGTGGCATAATGGGGGATAGTTTCTCATAAGCATTGAGGAACATCTTTGTGAACTCATTCCAAGGGGAAGAAGGAGATCGTGTGACAAGCCCAAATCTAAAATTTCCAAGGAGGGACAGGATTCTGAATTCTGCATAATATCTTCTTCTCAAATCTGCCTGTGGCCCACTCTCGAGTATTTGGAAGAAAATGAACTGGAAGTTCAAGTTTCAAGAGTGGTTTCATCACCACTCTGTTAGATATTGTAGTACAATCAATGCAGTTTTTATGTTTTGGTCAAAGAATGACAGAAAGATACAGCTGTTGCCTCAGCCCCTCAGATGTTCCACTGGCAATGCCCAGTTGGATTGCTCATTGTTAGTTGGGAGGTAGCAGCACTTGGGTAGACATGAATTTAGCTAGCAGAAATTATAGCTGTGCTTAATAAGGGTGGCAATGCAGGTAGGGTCAGCAGTTTGTGTTAGAGAAAACAATGGTACCCTGTAGATACCACTGGGCAGACCAGAATTCCCTGGGGGGAAATGCCAACATTCACTTAACAAAGATTTTTCAGGAACCCATCCTATGCCAATGACAGGTGACAAAATTGGTGGGCAAAATCCATAGTGGTTTCTACTGTGTGAAACTCCCCAGGGAATGGGGCCTGCTATGGACAAAACCAACAAAACTGGGTCATTTTAAAAAACATGACCTTGTCTCGTTTCACAGTCCAGTGAGATTTGGGGTGCCCTATGTTATATGGTATTCAGGCAAGATCAGGCTTAGATTCTAGCTCAGAGGTTTGCAAATAATTCTTACATACTTGAACACATTTCTTATTTTTATTTTAATTTAAAATTATACATTTTAATGGGAAAATGCTGTACATTCTTTGCATATGACATATTATTTTGAAATATATATAAATTGTGGAGTGACTAAATTGAACCAATTAACAGATGCATTACCCCACATACTTATCACTGGTTGTGATGGGAAAAGTTAAAAGTTACTCTGTTTGCATCTTTCACGAATACAGTGTATGACTATTAATAGCAGGCAACAGTTGTATGATAGCTCTCTTGAGCTTATCTCTCCTTCAGAATTGAATTTTGTTTCCTTTGACCAATATTCTATAGTTTTTTCATAGTGGGCATTTTTTCATGAACTTTTTGGAAACTCCTTATGCAAGGATTTCAGTATTACTTTGCAGCAAAATAAATTTCTCTTTTAATTCCTTTTTCCATGAACTTCAAAACTTGCCCTTGCATTGATGTCATTTCCTTTGGATATATGCCCAGGAATGAGATTGCTGCATCACACTGTAGTTCTGTGTTTAACCTCACTTGTTTCTGAGATAACAGGCCATAGGCTGCTTAGCCTTTGCCTTTCACTTAGGGAACCAGGGAGGAAGGACGGGCCAGGTGGAGGGATGCAGTGGTAGATTATGGATGCCAGTATGGGTGCAGTTCAGGCTAGACTAGGTCTTCTTTTGTGGTTCTTGTTGCCTTAGAACAGTGTTTGCATGTTTGTTTCCCAGCTTCTCCTAGGCTTGGTTCAGATACTGCATCATTTCCTATAGTTCAGCATTTGTCCAATTCCAATAATGGGTAATACACATGTTCTGGGGATCTTGCTAGGAGACAGATTCTGATACAATACGACCTGTGGGGAGGCCTGAGATTCTGCATTTCTCACAAGCTCCCAGGTAGTGCTAAAGTTGCTGATGGACAGAGTACCCTTTGTACAACAAGGTTGCAGTCCCTGAGAACACTGCCTGCATAACGTCTCTGGAGCCAGTGCTCATTTGGTGATGACTTTGGAGTTCCACCTCCTTCTCCACTTGATGGGGTTCACAGAGAATATTTCCTTATTATTTTTTGTTGGGCGCATTATTTTAATAATATCAGTCTTTTTTGCTTCTTTCAAAAATGTCGTCTACCTGCACTCTATAAATACACATTTGGGCTTCTTACATCAACACACTCTTTCCTGACAGTGGTGCTAACAGTACTGTGGTGAAGCCCTAAGTACCAGCCCGTTTTAGGAAAGAAATTCATCTTGTTAGAGGGAGCTGAGCTACTTACAAGGCTGATAGCGTTCTGCAGCTCACTGAATTGATGGAGAGAGGCACCGAGACTCAGACCCACCTATTTTTCATTCTTTGAATGAAGTCTATCTTCTGAATTACATGCACCATGTGAGTCAGGGAGAGCGAGCAATGGTTCTGGAAACAAAAACAGAGTTCTTATCTTTTAATACAGAAGAGAGTGCCTCAGGATATTATTATTTGTGATTTATGGGGTGCATAGCAATATGACCAGTGTCTCACCATAGCAGACAGAGGACTCTACCCCTCTGCCTTTGATGAACTCTTGTAGCTTCTCAGGGGCAATTTTCCAGTGTGGAATAGCTTCTGCATCACAAAATTCTGGCTTAAAATATCATACTGAAGAGGCTTTTGGGAAACTTGCTTTCCATGGCCAATCCTACCACTCACTAACTTATTTTATGAGTTTATCCAAATTCCTTAAATTTTCTTACCTACCACTAAGTTAGGTTAATCACACTCGCTGTTCATATTTGCCTATGAAATATCTTGAGATGTTTATCAGCTAAATGAGTCTCAAATATTTGTGAAAGTTCTGTTTCCTTTATGAAGATATATTGGATTTCACTGACAAGATCAGACTATGTGAATGAATAAAGTCAACTAACCAAACAAATGGAGAGAGTGACTACAGCATCTTCTGTAAGACAGTCAGCAACAGGAAAGGCAAACTTCCCTCCTTCCCTCTATTCTTCCTTTTTTTCCATCTGGATTTTCTAAAACTTTATTTTGAAATAATTTCAGATTTACTGAAAAGTTACAAGAATAGTACTGAGAATTTTCAGTAATGGCCACCCAGATTGCCCAAGTGTTAACATTTGATCACATTCGCTTTTGCTGGGTGTGTATTTGTATATCTACACTCACATCTGTGTATTTTTCTGACTTGAAAGTAGAAGACAATATAGATACTCCTTTTTGTCCAGATAGTTAAGTTTATAGTCCAAGGATAAGGATATTCTTTTCTCTAACCATATTTAGTTACCAAAATTACTAAGTTAAATTGACAGTACTATTGACAGTACTATTGGACTTCATTCAAATTTTTTCAGGTAGGTATCTTTTTTTTTTTTTTTTTTTTTTTTTTGACAGGCAGAGTGGACAGTGAGAGAGAGAGAGACAGAGAGAAAGGTCTTCCTTTGCCGTTGGTTCTCCCTCCAATGGCCGCCGCGGCCAGCGCGCTGCGGCCGGCGCACCACGCTGATCTGATGGCAGGAGCCAGGAGCCAGGTGCTTTTCCTGGTCTCCCATGGGGTGCAGGGCCCAAGCACCTGGGCCATCCTCCACTGCACTCCCTGGCCACAGCAGAGAGCTGGCCTGGAAGAGGGGCAACCGGGACAGAATCCGGCGCCCCGACTGGGACTAGAACCCGGTGTGCCGGCGCCGCTAGGCGGAGGATTAGCCTAGTGAGCCGCGGCGCTGGCCTCAGGTAGGTATCTTAATAATTTTCCTTATAGCGAGAGAGAAAAGGAATTGTCTTTGACCTGGGATCCAGGTGAGGCTCATGTGTGTGATTGTCCAATTCCTTTGTCTCCTTAACCTGGAGCCTCCATGTGGTCTTTCTGTCATAGGGAAGGTAAATTCTTGATCATAGGAGTTTCATGGAAATTTAACGAACAAATGTTACTCTGTTTTAACAAGCAACCACCAGGGGCAGCTAGGAAGTTCCAAGGTTGAATTCTAAAGTTGGTTTGTTGAGGCTGGTGCTGTTGTGTAGCAGGTAAAGCCGCCGCCTACAGTGCCAACATCCCATCTGGGCTCTGGTTCGAGACCCGACTGCTCCACTTTTTTTTTGACAGGCAGAGTGGACAGTGAGAGAGAGAGACAGAGAGAAAGGTCTTCCTTTGCCGTTGGTTCACTCTCCAATGGCTGCTGCGGCCGGCGCACTGCGGCCGGCGCACCGTGCTGATCCGATGGCAGGAGCCAGGTACTTATCCTGGTCTCCCATAGGGTGCAGGGCCCAAGCACATGGGCCATCCTCCACTGCACTCCCTGGCCACAGCAGAGCTGCTCCACTTCTGATCCAGCTCTCTGCTATGGCCTGGGAAAGCAGTAGAAGATGGCCCAGGTCCTTGGGCCCCTGAACCCACATGGGAGACCCAGAAGAGGCTCCTGGCTCCTGGCTTTGGATTGGCACAGCTCCGGCCATTGCAGCCATTTGGGGAGTGAACCAGCAGGTGGAAGACCTCTCTAACTCTGACTTTCAAATAAATAAATAAATCTTTAAAAAATAAAGTTGGTTTTTCAAAGGTGTAAATAAAAGACAGTTATTATAAAAATTTAAAAATGCAAGCATAAATCAAGTAAAAGTCCTCTCTTCATTCCCACTTTCACCTGAATAAACCCTGTTAAAGATTTTTACAAATGGTTTCAGATCTTTTCCATTATATATATGTATATATATCATTCCTGCATTTTTTACAGAACAAAAATGATACCATAAGTGCATAGTATGACCTAACTCCCCCACCCTCTTTATTTTTAAATTAGTGTGTAATATCTTTCCCTACCAGTTTGTGCAGGTATGTGAGGGTGCACTTTTTTGCATCCTTACTGAGGAAGCCCCAACCTGAGTGCAAAGTGTTCCATTTAGCTTTGATTTACTAAGCATGGAAGTGGCCTTCTGCACTAGGAGAAAAAAACTTAAAAATTAATTCATTAATGTTATTTATTTAGATGAGGGAAAGAAGGGGAAAGAGAGAGAGAGAGAGACAGAGAGAGAGAGAGAAATCGTCCATCTGATGGTTTACTCCCCAAATGTGTGCAATAGCCAGAGCTGGGCCAGGCCAAAGACAGGAGGCAGAACTCAATCCAGGTATCCCAAGTAGGTGGCAGGGATCCAAGTACTTGAGCCATCACATGCTACATCTCAGGGTGTGAATTTGCAGGAAGCTGGAATCAGACGCCGAGCCAGGAGCTGAATTTAGGCACTCTGATATAGGACGCAGGCATCCCAAGCAATGTGCCAACGCCAGTCTGAGAAAGCATTCTTTGTTCCCAGCTAGCTGTTAAAGTACACAAGGAGTGTGTGTGATGCAAGCACCCTCTTTGAGTCCTGACACTTTTTGCTCTTCTCTTTTAGAATGCCCACAGGACCCTCCCCCAGTTCATGGGTCCTTCATGGCGGATCTCATCTGGGTGATTATAACCTGGGGAGGTTAAATTATAACCTGCATAATGCAGCCTTGATGCTGCCCCATTTCAAAGATGACACTTAAATAAGAGAAAAATGTTGAAATGACACTATCAATTCATCAAAAATGTTTCTCTTGCACTGCAACTGGAGTCCATGGTGACATGACTGGTGATTGTATCTGTTTTATACACTCAAACATTTTGTAAAGTTTTTGTGATCCCAAATCTGGGAACCATCCCCATGGGTGACAATTTCTAACTGTTTATTTAGGCTCTTATCTGTATCCCAGATTAGAAGTGCAGCTGTTCTTCTCCAGTCTTAGACACACTTGCCTGATCTTGCAATGACTTTTGGAGGTTTCTTGTGACTGCTTTGCTGAGGTCTTTCAGAAAATCGGTCTTGAAGATTGCTTTAGGCTGGTTTTCCTTTGGTTCTTGACTGGGTTTGCTCTGGGCCTTTCTGACCTTTAACTTTATTCATTCTTTTCTTGCCCTGACCTTGTGGAGCCAGTAAACCCAAGAGGCCAATGAGGCAGCGATGATCCATAGTTATTTATGAGTTTGATGGCTGTGTTAGTGGTTTTCCCATTTTCCTTCTCTCTTGCAGCCTTTAGCCTTGAAAGCACTTTGGGGCAGGGTCTGTTTTCCTATAACTGCCTTCTTGCACTTGTTGGGCAAAATCGGAGTAGTGATTGAGTCCTCAACACCCTTATGGCACTGCAGAGTAATAACATTTATCACACTTCTTGTTTAAGCCCTTTAGAGAATGACATTTCACAGCGTAATTTTACTTCCCAGATTTTTCCCTTGTGAGTTTTAACTTTCAGGGTAGAATTCTCTCTTATGGCCTCACCTTTTCCCTATTTTGTGTATCTGCAAGAAGTTGCACAAATAAGGCTTCTCTCAGCATAGCAAATGGAATCAGGTCAGACTCCCACGTGCCCTTCACCTCAAGATTCCTGAGTATTTCTTCCTTATTTGTCCTGAGTGGGCCCAAATTGCCTCATCTCTAGCCGCCCTTTCCACTTTGTGAAACAAGCAACTAGCTGCCCCACAGCTCCAAAAATCCCCGGATGACCTGGCTTTGGCTCTTTTTATTATCCCCCTAAGAAATGTGTCAGTAATTGAAATCTAGAGTAGCAGAGTTTTGTGATCTTGTCACTTAGCATTTTACTTATGTTTGGTTTATTTGTATTGTGCCCTTAAGCCCTGGAGCGGTCAAAGTCTGCCTAAGGGACCGAAAAGACTGAAACTAAGAATATCGTCATCAACTCAAAGACGAGAAGTTGAACAGGGGCCTTAGCACTCACGCTTCCTTGGGAGTCAGAAGCAGGGGAGGGAGAAGAATGCTGGGATACTTTAGAAGTAAGGAGAGACGAGACATTCATGCTGAGAATCATCTTGCAGGCTGCATTTCATTTATTTATGGGGACCTGGTGTCCGGTTATTTATTTTTTTTCCTGCTACAGTAATTTATCAGTGAGTTCATCCTGACTTAGTCGTGGGCAGAGGGCCCCACTGCTAGTTCCCTTTTATTTCATACATTTGTTTTATCTTAACTTGTAAAGCTTCAGTGTTGCTACTTCCTTTACCATCCATCTGTGTTTACGAAAGAGCTGGTCTTGATGTATGGCACAGCCCTCCTTTCCCCCACCTCGTTGTCCTCTCTCCACAGATTGCATTCTTCAGTATTGACATTTCCATCATTTGATTTATCCCAACAGGTTCCCCAGTGCCAACTAGATCATCATTTCCTCTCTGGTCGCATCACTTCAAGACTGTCCTGGTTATTTCCCTGGGCTCCTTATATTTGTGGATCAGCACCTGAGAGATTTCTGATGATTTGTCTCCTCTTTCAGTTGTCTGTTTGCTTAGAATGAATTCACAAGAGGTGATTTGGGAGGCTTAAGGATATCTGGAGTTGTGTGAAATGTGAGCTTTGTTCTGCCTGGTAGGGAGTGCTGGAATGTCCTATCTCAAGCCTTGTCACAGAAGGCCATCTCTGGAATTGCTTCAAACAGAAGGACCTGCCCATGAGCATTCTGCCAGCCTTTGTGAATCAAATGCCACCCTCCAGATTTCTCTGAGAGCTTCGAGAAGGGGAGAGCTGGATTATAAGCATTGAAAGTAGATTATTACCGTTTCAAAAAGGGAACACAGCTGTAAGAAATTCACATTCACTTTGGTTAGGAGAGAGTTGAATACTCCTTTTCTTGTGCCTTTTTTTTTTTTTTTACTAATACTATATTTGTGCGATCTGACCACACATCCATACATAGACACAAGCAGGTATATAGTAGACACAGAGAAGAAAAATCCCATTCCTGAATTCTAATGATGTTGGCATTAAAATACTGAATGCTACATTATCACGAGAACTTCAGCAGTCCTACTTTGCATCAGTGGCATTTATTTTTCATGTCAAGCAAGAGAGAAAACTGCAGAAATTTTTTCTCCCCAGTTCCTTTAGCTTTCTTTAACCAGTTCCTTTGATTGGGAAATGTTCTGTGACTTATATATGATATGTTGGGGACTGGCTATATTACAAAAAGTAGCCTTCTTGACTTGTCCTTAAGTTGACTGTGATCTAGTTTCTTATCCATTATTTAAAATTCCACTGCCATGAAGGACACTTGTAATTCTCCATTCTGCAGCTCCACTCTGCTAGGTATATGGGGCTGAAGCCTTTCAACCCTCTCTAAGCTGGAGGTTATGAAATTGATACCGGCTCACCTTTGGTGGTGGGCAAGGAATGACCATCAAGAAGCTGTCACCTACTCCCCTCATTGCTGAGGCACAGTGAAGTTAAGGACACTGTGGTGTCTTGTCATTATCCCCATACCCCAACCATAAATAAGAGATCAGTGCGTCTCCACCATGGTTTTAGGAGAATATGATGCCTGGACTCATGCCAATGGTTAGGTCCCTAAATCACAGACTGATGCTATTAATAGGGTCAAGGCTTGATCCAGGTATGGTGTTTCTGAGGCGGGCTTAGTGGGAGATCCTGGGATCATCGGGGATGTGCCCTGGGATGGTAGTTCTTGTGGAAGGCTTGGCTTGAGAGCCTGCAAGTTTGGCCCAGCGGCTATCTCTGCTTCCCAGCTCACTGTGTAATCTACCCACTGCACACACTCTGCCACTGCCATTCTCTGGCTTCAAACAGCTTCAACCAATGCAGTCTATCTGATGTTGGACTATGAATCTTCAAACCAAAATAAACCTCCTTCCTTCATAAGTAGCTTGTTCTTAGATATCTCACTATTAGCAACATAAACTAATATGCTTTCCCCGTCCTAAAATCAAGCTTAAAATGGGCTTCTGCTGCAGCTGGAAGGATTTGGGCAGCTATGAGGGAGAATTTCCTGACTCTGAGGATGTCAAATTGCTTGCATGGTTGTGTAATCATACTCTCAGCACAACTTAAAGTTTTTTTTGATTTCTTTCAGACACTTCAGGGCAGAGGAAAGAACACTTTGGTGTCTCAGGGCCAACTGAGTTCCCTGGCAAGGAAGACCACAAACAGGTAATATCTCTTTGTAACTTCTGATAATGATACATGTATTTCTGTCTATCTTTAAAGTCCTATTTATTAAAAATATTCTCGGAATTCTATGAAAGGCAATCAAGCATATAGGTAGGATGACAAGTAACAAATAGCAAAGCAGTGACCAGATATGTCAAGATAAAAAGCCATGAGAAACAAACCAAAGAATGTTTATTTAAACTTAGAGGTAAATAATAGAAAGTAACATTGATTACCTTTTTTTGGAAATGGAACAAAAATTACAAAAAATAAGGAAGCAGAATTAAAATCTCACCTTTGAATGAGAATCACCATGGTTTATCTCTTTGAGGGCATAGTAGTAAATAATGTTATTATTAATACTTTTCAAGATAGTAGAAGATGAAGCCACTAGAGAAGTATGAACTGAGTATCCAAAAGGTCTAAATTACTTACCCGACACCACAGTTGGAATGTATGCCTATTGGAATTAGCAACAAGTGGAATGTAATAAAAGAAACATTGTCACTGATCTCCAACATTCCTATAATTTTTATAGATTGAATCCCTACCAATTTAACTTATGGAGTATAAAAAAGAATTTAATTATCCTATTATAATAGTATGTGCTCTCAGAAATTAAGAGTATGCTGCAGGCGTTGACTAAAAATGGATAGACTAATGGCTTTTAGCAAGAATGAAAGGAGATTGAAAACAAAACAGGAGTTGAACTGTGGCTTCTCAAAGCAGCTTCTTGCAGATTTTTTTTTTTTTAAGCTGGGAGGGGAGTACTGATTTACCATTTATATAAGGGGCATAATTTATCTGTGCTGATTAAAATGATCAAGTATGCAGCGGCAGCTCTTTATATTCCAGGTAAATGCTTCCTTTGTGCTTTTCAGACAAGAATTTCTGACATGACATAGGAAAAGCTGAAGGAGTCAGTCTTTAGGGTGTGTTTTCATCCAGGAGGTGGCTTGAAATGGATTAATGGCAAATCACAATAAATTATTTATCAGATAATAAGTGTGATAATTGTTCTTATTTATCATCAGTATAACTTGCCTTGTTCTCCTGTCATGCTTTCAATCAAACCCTCCCCAAAGATTTGCTGGTTAAGATATACAGCCAAGAGGTCATTGCAACAATTTTTCCTCATAATGGCACACTGATTATCTCCTAATTGAAAAATGTAAACTAAGGGCTTTGTAAGTAATGCGAGTGACCCTTGCATTTCTAACACAACGAGGAGAGTCACTCTGCACCTCATTCATCCTGCTATAGGGAACAGTACAATTTTCAGTAATTTTGATGGTCTCCTGAATTAATTGGAAATAAGTTTTTTGTTTTCCATGGAGAAGAAAAAAAACCTATGTGCCCAATTTTGCTGAAAAAGTAGAGATGTAAAATACCATTCACTACCTACTGTCCTGCTGGCAGCTAATCTATTGAAGCTTAATTGTAATTATCCACCAGGTATAGGCCTGGAGAGGAATACTGATTACCACTATATGCATTTCTGTGGGAAAGACTCTGTATTGAGTCTGTTGCAAAATTTCAAGTAAATTTATTTCTACCAGCAGCTGTAATGGATCATTGGTCATGGACTATTTCAGGACTTGTTGCAATGGGAGAAAATAATCCCAACTTGTGTGTGCAAAATTCCTTAAAAGATTGTCAATCTTTCTAAAGTAGCCTGATATACATGAAAGTACCCAAACTGTAGTGTGAGAGGCACCTGTGGTTACCCAGAAATGCGTTCTATGCCACACAACATGTGTTGCCCAAATGTCCTTCATGGAAACAGTGGTTACTACAAGAAAGGATTCTTCATATTTCTCTGTGTCTCCTTCCCTATTCCTCCTTTACCATTCCTTTCTATTCACCTGACCTGTTTTTGGGGTGCCCCAAGTTCATACCTCCAATAGAACCCTCTCCTAGTACCCCATTTCCCATAGATGTGCATGCTGTCACTAAGCTCACAGTCTCCCATGTGGGCCATAAACCACTCCTTGGCACCTCAACCTGCCCTGTTTCTTGCAGGTCAGTCTGCTTCTCCTGTGTGAGTTGGGGATCATTCACACATCTGGTTTGCATCATCCTCTTTCCAAAGCAGCTCAACACTCTTCATAGCTTTGTTTTATAGAGCTCCTGGGGCATACTCTCCTAGACCCACTTGCTCTGTTCTTGCTGCCTTGATTCCAGAGCCCCTTGGCTCTTAGCATGTTTTCATATATCTCTATAGCTCTCTTCATGCTGTTTGTGTTGTTTTTCTTCTTCCCAATCTTGCCTTCAATCTTGGGCACTATTCACTTCCCTCCTTTCTAGTGTTCCACAGATGGGAGCTAGATTCAATTCTACTTCCTCAACTCAATGTAAAAGCCTTGACCTTTCTGCTTCACCCAGAGTAGATGTTAGACAACTTCAGTGCCAACCTTCAAAGCAGAGGCCACTTTCTGACTTGCAATAGCGTTGATAGTTGTTATCTCTGCAATTGTATGCATTCATTGAGAAGTTGGCCTGCTCTTTCTGTGAAATAGAAGAGTTCAATAAACTGGGTGGTGGTCATATATTCTCAGAGTCCCATATTGATATTTCCTCAAAAGCTCTTTTGGTTTTGGTGTTGACTGAGATCTAGTGACTCTAGCTCTCTTTACAAAGCAAGAAATCCCTTTGGTTATCAATGTTTTGAACCCCCAAATTAGGACATGTGGATGAAAAATAGAGTAGAATATTTCAAGTCTTAAAAAATCTAGAATGTTGTATTAGTTATCCATTGTGTAACAAATTACCCCCAAATACAGTTATCTAAACAACAAGTTTTAGATCTAAAACAAGCATGTATTGTCTCACACCATTTTTGTTGGTAGCACTACCTTGGGGTCTTTTCTAAACTTGTAGTCAAGATGTTGGCTGGGGCTGAGTTATCTGAAGACATGACTGGTTCCTCCAAGAAGACAAAGTGATATGGTAGAGGGCAGAAGGGCTCTCTCTGTTCATCGCCACATAGACCTCTTCATAGCACTGCCTGAGTGTTTTTACAATGTGGAAGCTGGCTCTTCCCAGAGCAATTGATCCAAAATAGCAAGGTAAAAGCTGGAACGTCTTTTATAGTCTAGCCTTGGTGATCATGCTCTGTCATTTCCACAATATCCTACTAATAACACAAGTTAACTGTTGTGAGAGGGAACCACCCAAGGGCAGGAAAATTAGGCAAGAATCACTGGGGACCATGTAGGAGGCTGACTACCGCAAATGTGTAAGCGCAAATGTGCAACCATTTTTTTAAAATCCTTTTAACCATGCTTGGGAGGTGGTGAGGAGGTGTGTTCTTTGCTGTATTCAGCTAGAGGAGACACAGGGGCATACTATTTCCTGGTGGCACTTGATCAGGAAACAAACTTTCCGCAACATTATCATTGAAACATACTATAAATTTAATTTATTCTCCTTGTTGCTTTATCTTGTACCCACTCTGGTGTTTCCCAGCATGTATTTCTTAGTACTAATCCTGTGAATATCTCCACTCCAAATGACTTTGTAGTCAAATTTGGAGATTCACAATTTTCATGACCATATGATGCTTCTGCGTATTCTTGCAACACACAACCAGTTTCATTTTGTTAAACCCAGCTTCTCAAACTTATTAGTCTGCATTTTTTTTGGTCACAAATAATAGCATCCTCCAATTTTGAAACATTGCTCTAGATGGTTAAATGTCCATTATCAATATTATTCCAGAACAGGTTTAAGATGGCTATGATAGTAAAACCAGCACTCAAATGTGCCTGGAATCATAGAGTTGAGTGCATTCACTCCATTGAAGGGCTTGAAGGGCAATCTTATAACCACAGCTCCTAACTCAGTAGCTAAAATGTTTTGTTTGCTGGGGAACCCTCAATCGACCAACCTTTTTCTGTGCTCTAAGAGTGTGTACCTTGATGTTTCTCTGCCCCTGTATGAAATCTCTATTGAAAACTGGCCCTCAAAGTCTTTCAAAGAGCATGAACCTTCTTTCCCCAGGAGGAGGAAATTTTCTCCACCTACATATAAAGTCCAAGAAGCATAGCACTGCTGAGATTAAGCATCTCTTAGCCAGCGTGTTTTATGGCTGAATTGTTTGTCTTGGTGTGTAAGCCTCTGGGGCATAACCATTTCTTCTTATGAGTCTGGAATAGCACTCAGCATACTGTCAGCACTCAACCCAAAATAAATCATCATAATAATAGTCATAAACATAAATCAAAGGAGCACAATTCAACTTATTTATAGCCTTACAGGCGAAGCACAATAGAAAAAGTGCAGTTATTTTCCATCATATTATCCTATATCATTTCCTAGCAAAATGTCATATTGTCCACTAGTGTGTAACCAGGTAATGGAGAATTCTGGTGCAACCTGCGAATTCTGTGGGGCCACAGTTAAATGACGTGAGGCTAGAGGCTCATGTTTCCTCAGTTTCTATAATTAAAACCTAAATTCCTGAGGCTTATTAAGATAATACTTAACATATAATTATCTTGACATTTTAAAAAGGAAAAGTGTTTAAGACAAATTATGTAGTAATATTTAATCACAAAAGTCTACGAGTTCTGCTCATTTCTTCAAAGATCTGCTCCCTGATTTCCAAGGTGAAAGCTTAAAGCCTAATAAAGATTTTAATCTGATGTTCAATCTAGTGGATAATGGTGGATTAGTTACTGAGTTATCCCTCCCATATAACATGCTTTTATGTACAGAGTGCTTTTACCACTTTGAGATCCAGGCTGCTCTGAAAGTTGGGTTTGTTCATCCATTGGATCAAATATTAAACTATACTAGCCACATTTCCTGCGTGGTTTTATTTATTTATTTTCTGGAAGAATTTGAAGAACATACCTACACACACTAGCAGATGTGTATGTGTGAAAGTAACAATTCCAGGGGCCTGTGCTGTGGTACAGTGGGTTAAGCCACTGTCTGCCGTGCTGGTATCTCACATGGATGCTAGTTCGAGTCCCTGCTGCTCCACTTCCAATCCATCTCCCTTCTAATGTGCCGGGAAAGCAGCAGAGGATGGCCCAACTGCTTAGACCCCTGCACCTACATAGGAGACTCGGATGAAGCTCCTGGCTCCTCTCTTCAGATAGGCCCAGCTCTGGCCATTGTAGCCATTTGGGGAGTGAACTAGCAGATGGAAGATTTCTCTCTCTCTCTCTCTCTCTCTCTCTCTCTCTAACTTTGACTTTCAAAGAAATAAAATAAATTTAAAAAACCCTAGTTCTGAATATATACACCACTCATTATAAAATACTCAAATATTTTGAAAGATTTGTCTTTAGACTTTTTTCCTAACTGTATAGTGTTTTTAAAAATAAAAAAATATTTTTTCTTTATTTTTAAAAACATTGTCAGATAAAACTGTATGTATTTATCATGGACACTGTGATGT